GATAATTGTAAGTTTGATGATTTCTCAATTAGCTCGGTTAATCGTCGTTTTACCGTACTTTCCACAAAACGACAGTCGTGGCTAATTAAAAGTTTCGCGCGTCTGTTTGCTTTCTAACGATATTATCCCAACTGTGTCCGTCGCGGCGACTAGTTTTTGCCCATCCGTGCGAACTTGAAGACAGTGGTCCGTTATCGGGGTACCGTTCTACGCAAAAATCGCAGGATGGATGGCTGGGTGACAGGTAAATCGAGAATTGCCGTGAAATTAACGGGCATTAGTTGGTCGGCCGGCTAAACTGGTTCCGCGGGAACGATATACGTATTTGCCATGACCGATGGTAATTACAGCTGGGAGAAAGGGTATCGAGTGCTACCGCGAGAATTCGATACGCCATTTTTACCGCTGTAAGTCGAGCTTTCAAGTTGAAGACCAACCTCGATTCGCGTCGAAAGGAGAGTGCGTCGGGGTGATCGACGCTCGGATATTAAACGTATCTAGGCGAAAAAATGCGTTCTTGTCGACGACTCTGTAACCGGTCTTTCCGTCCGTGTATTATCAGTAAGAAAAATCCGCCGGTATCGATAAAGATATCTTGATACCGACGCAATTAATATATCGTAATTTCAAAAAAAAAAGCGCGAAACAGAAGCTTGCTTTCGAAACAAGAAAACAACCACGAGGCTGAGTCGATTTACAAAAATTGATAATGGAAAAAGATCCTTGTCACGCTTGAATTACGTGTTTATCGTTAACGTAAACTTTCTATATTTTCAATCTCTCCCTATGTACATTCTCTTGTCGTCAAACTTTTATTTTTTATCATTATTATTACGCTTGCGTAAAAATATTTAGAAACGTGTTACGAAACTTAATATCGCGGTGATTTTTTCCAACGCGATAATTCTAATGTGATTTTACAAATTATGAAAATGTCTGTCGAGGAGTCTTGGCGATTTTTGCTATACTTTTCGGTATAATTATTTATTTTTTGGACAATTTTGCTTGCACAGGCGTGCTATTAGAGAAACTTTCACAGTGTTCGGTTGTTTTGTATCATTGACGCAGGTGTTGACGCCTCCTAGAATCATAAAAAAGTGTCAAAAGTAAAAAATCGATAACTCTGCACGTTTGAAAAATTAAATGATCGTTGAATACGTTTAATTAAGAGGATTAAAGGGGCGCGTTTAATCACGAAGCGTCGAAAAATCAGTTTTTATTACACTTAACTTCCGTGCACGCTTTTATTTACCGTAATATTTTGTGAAAATGCATCAGTTAGGGGTGGAAGTAATATGGTAACGTACTGCATTTCACCTAATTAAGAGAAAGTCTGATACACATGAAATCAGAGGACTGCACATAATTTCCAAACGCGCTCCATCAATTTATTCATTATTTGATTTCGTTTCGAATTCATTCGCAATAGCAACGAATCCAAAATTATTGTATTATTCAACGATGCAAACGCAAATGATATTTATAATATTTATAAAAAGGGAAATTGATATTTAAATTTCTACACGGTATTCTACATAAATATTTATACGGATTAATATTAGATTTGGGCATAATTTCGGCGTGACACACAAATCTATTTCCAAAACATCTTTACGTCGTTGGATTACTAAATTTAAACGAATCTAATAACATTTGTGTCAATTTTCACTAATGTACTCGTTCATAAAATAATGAAATGCTCGCTGGTCAGGTCCGATAAGGGTCAATAAAGGTCAATCTCGGTATCTTTAAATTAAATTTTACGCTCGTTGGCCAGTTTTCCGAGCGCGGCGCAAATTGTCGGTGGGTTTAGCGTTAATCCGCAGTATATTGGCTTAGAAACGGCTCGTCCCAGTTTCTAATAATCAAGCCTGTATATTAGATTTTACGGAGAACGTTAGAAAGGCAATGACGTCGGAGAATAGTCTCGTCGGTGGAAATGTATTCGAAGGAAGACCGCCGAATCCACGGGGGGTGCGCGTGTGGCGCGCGAGTGGAGCGAGAATAACTTTATGCAAGTGCAACGCGGTGCTCGGCCGAGCAACAGTTTTTCGGCCGGTACGGCAAAGGAGATCGAACGACGTTCGCTCGGAAGCGAGAGAAGTTCACCGAGCGTGACACTGTTTTCGCAGAAGCGAACGCGCGCCGGAGGTTAAACTCGGAACAGCGTGAACCGCGAAAGATCGCTGTCGATACGAACAAACGATCCTTTTTCTTCTCTCCTCGGTTCGGCTCGAAATTAATTCACGACGGAAGGGGTTAAATTCCATCGTCGAGAAGCGAGAAAACACGGTTCAACAACCCGTTCGCGAGCGTTAAGGTTTCCTCGGTTCGGGGCACGACGATGTGGGACAAATACGAGACGGTATCGCAAACAGGAGAGAGAGAGAGAGTGAGTGGGGTCCGTGGCGTGCGAAATGACGGCGAATTATTGTGCCGAGGAAGAAGAGGAGCCACAAAGGATAAAAGGGTGAAGAAGAGTGGGAGAGGGACGGTGAGGAGGTGGTGGAGATGGAGGAGTAAGAGTAAGAGTAGGAGTAAGAGGAGAAGGTGGAGGAGGCGACCGATAGTTGTCGTAAGGGTCAGCGTCGGTTGTTGCCCTGGCCCCTTAACGTTGCTTGGCCCGCTCGGTTATTGCTTCCCCCTCCCTCTATCGCTTTAGAATCGCAATTCTGTTCAACACCAACACAACGCCGCGATTCCTTCGCCTTCTCCTTTCTCTTTGTTACAACTTCACCCCTTCTTGTCTGTCAAAAAGTAGGGTTTGTATCAAATCGCCGATAATGTTTCAATCGACACCGTTTCGCACCGACATTGATCCCATCACGCACGAAACCATTCGAACGATGACACGTTTATTATCAATATGTACTAGATTCATGGAACCCGGTTCCATGCTCACCAGTTATACAACTCGTAAATATTTCTTTGCAATTTATATTGTAACGGTATGAATATACATGTATCCTGATTTAAAGAAACTACGCATCTTTTATCTTTTCGATAAAAATTTAGCGTTAAACGGCAACACTGATCGTACAGTACAGTGTATAGACATAAATTTCATTTAAACGAAATAACATACATGTCCGTGTTAAAAAGACTTTATTATTCGGTTTAGAAATTAATTCTCGGCCCCTGCATTAAATCACCTATAACATTTATTCAAATTGAGCCTTTCCCCCCCTCCCGTTCCCCTCTGTGTTGATACCATGATGACTCTTCTTCCCTCGTCACAAATGCTTTAACGCGTTCGCTAGCATGACTCACCATCGGGCCGGACTGCAACTTGTTAAGTATTCGCACGTTTCTCATGATTGGACCATTATTGTCAATCATGAACTACGGTCGTGTTAAATAAAAGGTTTATAAATCTTTCTATCGATGTCAGAATTCAAGACGTTGAAAATATACTTTTTTTTGTTATTTGTTACAAACTACGTTGGAACAGATAACTGCTCGGTATATATATAAATAGATTTCTACTTTACATAATAACGTTACAAGTTCGGACGCTAAAAATTACGACTGTACCGTTACCATATATCGAACATCAAAATTTTTCGCTGGTGGTATACAAATCGCGCATTCGGAGATTTCTATGACGCGAGAAGAAAGTTAGTCGATAAAAAGTATATTTTTATACGCGTTGTCCGTTTCCTTCTGACTCCTGTATCGTCCCGTTTCCTTTCACCTAAAACTGACGCAACGATTCCACGCGGCTTTTAACGATATCGAATCTCATTTGCTATAATCTTTGGCATGGATTACCATTATTACGTTACTTCTGTCATTACCTTGGTATTAAAACACTTCCTAGACCGTTCTCGCGTTCTCGCGCTCTCGCGCTCTCGTGCCTTTTTATCCCGGAATCCATTCGTCTCTCCTAACCCGTCTGTACTTCCATTCGCAAGAAAGTTTCTGTTTCATTTTTCGTTCCTTTTACGGCTATACGTTTCACTCAGAGCCTAGACATACTAAGAGAGGGAGCCCTGCTGCGCCATCGTAATCATTACGATCCCCTTCTCTCGACATAAGGAGGAATTGTTGCGTAACAGGTTCAAAAAAATTAATTTCTCAATTTTAGTAATTCGGTTTAATCATTACGGAACTCGTACATGTTATTTTTTAACAATTTATGTTGAATCTCATCGATGCAATAACATATTTATCGAGAACCAAACCTTGACGACTTTGAAAAAAAATAGTCTGCATGGTAGAGTTCGTTGAACGAGGGTTGAAAGTGCCAGTCCAATCACTCTACATGTTCCTGTTAAAGAGAACTCATTAAGATAACAATTGTATGGTAGCGTAACAGTGCAACCTACGAGAACACGTTCCGAAACTGACATACCGATAACGAAATTTACATAATGGATTATGCAATTAAAAAAAAGAACACCTATTATGATATTCAATTCGTAATATAAATTATACATATAACTTGTTCTTTTCGATAAGCTGCTCGATGAATTGGGCTCGAGCTGGTGTGGCGTAACGCAGAATTGTAAGTTGCACAAACAAATAATGGGAGATTCTAGAGGGCAAAATGAGACGAAAATCAAGGATACTAATTTGTTGATCGAGGCTAAATTGTTTTTTTCCAAACCGGTGTGATCGAAAGATGTTAACTCGTTCCCTGATCGATATTCATGGTCCGGGTGATAGAAGTTTAGCCAATTACAAGGGACATTATTCGAAACTGAGCGAGGTTTCCTTTATCCTACGGGCGTTAATGGCGGGTACGGTTACGACGACATGCCAGAACTTGGAACGTTTGAACAAGTTTCGTAACAGCGCGGCTCGCGGCTCGCGGCTCGCGGCTCGCGGCTCGCGTCGCTCGTGTGAATCGCATTGTGTGCGGTGGGGTAAAAATACCGGAAACGGTTCAGTTGACCTCAGCATCCCTCGCTCGATGTGGGTCGCGCGTTACGCGAGAATTTCGAGCTCCAAAGTTAACAAAGCGGCTAAACGCCGGAAATCTTGAGAAGTATGCGTGGCGACGTCGTGTACGACTACCAGGGAAGAACCTACTTATTCACAACATTTACATTGCGGAACGACCCTCTGTAATTTCCATGGGCAAGCCAGTGCGTATCCTGTTTACATTATCCGCGCAAATAAAATTCCATCTTTGCCGCAATCGTATCATTTTAAAGCGATTATTGTGTATTTTTAAATATTAACTGATCTTCATAAAAACGTTAAATACGTCCATTTTGTATATTTGTAAAATATTCGGGCGGTAGTGTTTGCGCGAAACCGGCGACCATCAAAGTGTTAGGTTACGACGTTCTTAATTACAAAACTCGAGTGTTTGCCGACAGATACGTATCCTTGTTGTTCGTAGTTTCACAGTCAACAGCTTGTTAAAGCCAGATAATCTCGTTGCGTATGTTTTGCCGTTTGTTTTCCACGTAGTGCGTTATCTCGGCACGGCGTCGCAACGTTAGAAAACGATTAACGCACGAGGTTGTGTGACGTTTTCTTTGTGTCGTTATCAGCCTGCCCGTCGGCGAATTTTATACCAAAGGGATCTGCGTCGCGTTTTCAAAGTCATCGATTCACACCTGGAAAGTACATCAACCGACGGAGGGGTCTACCTCTCCTTACGCTTCTCTTATTGTCGAACTGCCTCTTCTCACACTTTTCCCGCCATTGCATTGTCCTATCGAGTGTGCTTAGCTTTGCAGACTCGTTCGTGCGAAATTTAAAAAAAAAAATTACGGCTTGCACGATACTTTTCCCTAATTTTGAACGAAGAAACATTCTTAACTCTTTGGGACACGATTAAAACTGGGATTAAAAGTGTCCCACCTTTTTGATGCACCGTGTAATGCATGCTGGGACATTTTATTGCGACAACTATTACTATCTTTTTTTTTATGTTTTTACATTATGTGATTATACCTCTGTTGATATAAAATTTCAATGCAACATGGGTCTGTTTTATTATCTGAAATCCTGTGCGGCAAAGAGTTAACTCTGTAACGGCGAAATTCCCATAAAGCCACATTGTGTGCAACAACGCGATGCTTTGGATATTGGCCGACGCGCGGCGTTCGAGTCTGAAACCGGCCAATGTTGAAGGTCTTCCAGGAAATCTCGTGTGGCCCTTTTCTTCAAACAGTACGAGTAGGACAGAGATGCATAACACGGCTCGTCGATGTCTCGCAGTAGATTTAAAAACATAAACACAGCTGGCTGGCCGCCGCGACAAACTGAGGTTAATTCCAGCTGGAGCTGGTGGGAATAACAACCAGCGGACTTCCAAGGCATGGCTATGTTTAGGGTTATGGATAGAAACGATAGTATAATACGAAGAAAACATTTTAGGAGTTCCGTATCGAAACATCGAGTCGATATTATTTATTGAGTTTTGGTCGTTGCCGTACGAGCGTACCGATCGCGGTAGCACGAACGTTCCGTTTCCAATTATGCGAACACGTCATGTCCCCGCAAAACACGGTACATGCGCTTCTAGCAGACGCCTGTACGTTGCAACGAGTTTCGCAAATACTGCGGTCGTTAACCTTACGCGAAAATGGATAAGGCGGTTCGACTATGGCAACGTCGCCGCTCTTTATAGACACCGAAACCGCGCCGTGAACGTAAGTGCTTTTAAATGTACGTCGAAACGTATGCTCTGCATACGGAAACTCCCGGTAAGCGTTACAATTCTTTTCGATGTACATTTCGTGACATTAAAGGAACCAGCAGCGGGAGTTTGATTCCCTCGCGTTCGCGTAAAGTACATTTTCAACCAAGATACATGAAAATATGCACGTAATCGTGTAATTGGATTCTTTATTTTGCACATATATTATTCTAAAAATTTTTCTAACCTCTTTCCGCTGAACGTCTTTTTACGAAATCTTTTTTTAGTTTCGACGTCACGCTACGTGCACATCGATGCATTCTAATATGCGCTTAACGGTAATAACCACGGTGCTGGTTAAACTAAACGTTTACAAACGTAAAAACTCGCCAAGATTCTCGATCGGTTAGCAAGATGGAGGGGTGGTCGCGACTAGAAACTTTTGTCGTGGAATTTAAACATCGACGTATTTCGATTCCAAAAAATTTATTTATCTTCCCTGATCGCTGGAACTGAATAAATTGTCGAAATTGATACGCGTCAGAAATCTTTTTTCCATCGCGTAGCGAATATTGAAAAGAGAAAAGATAAACGTCAGGTAGGTAGAAAATAGACGAAGCGTTTCGCAAGATAAAAAGAACGGATACTTGGCGTAAAGACACGAAAAAAGATGGTAGCTGGAGCGGAAGTGATTGTAGATTAAGAGAAAATTGTAACGTACGACATCGTTTGGAATACGGGAGTAGTTCCATCCAGTAAGTAAAGTACATAGGTTGCTGAAGTATCTAGGTACATTTGCAAATACTGCTGCTGTGAACGGAAGCTTATGGCACGTAGATACGTGTTCGTGCATTGTTCTACATACGTATTCAACGCAGCATTCGTAACCTCCGGTAGGTCGTACATCCAACTAATACGCGGCGTGAATCACTGTAGTTTACCGCCTTGAATAACTCTCTTGCTTATAATGCTACAGAAACAGTATTTCTACTGGTATTCTGTAAAAACAACATATTTTCACATTTGCGAGGTCTATTCATAAAGTCTATTCTTTTTCCCAACTATTGCATGTATGAATAAATTTAAACAAGATTAATATATACTTGAAAAATTACTTTTAATTAAATCGTACGTTAAGAGGTTAAGGACTAATTTGTTAAAAGCATCGGTATTGTTGTTTATTCGGCACAGTTTACAATATCATATTACACTAGGCACTCGTATGTATGTATGTATGTATGTATGTATGTATAGCCTGTTATCTATACTAACCTTAATTGGATAGCAATCACATAGATAGGAAAAGTTGAGTGGATTTGTAGATGATGTAGTAATGAGTATTTCTAGCGGCGAGTACATATGTATGTATTTCTTTTTCTTGTAACGGAATCGTTTCATCTTAGCGTTGACGGAAGGAGCATAATGCGATAAATATAATCATATCGCGTGTTGTATGGTTTGATAAAGAAGCTTGAAAATAGAACTGGTGTAAAATTACGTCCGACAGGCAGGAAAACACTCGTATAAACATGTTTGACTGCGTCGGCGGCAGCAATTTCAGACATTCCTTCGGACCTATTGAAGTGGTATGAAATGTAATACGTTTGTTTGTGTCGCTACACCACTCAGTCACCATCAATGGCAGCCAATACAGAATTATTCGATGAAATTTCGATGCTCGCGATTCCATGTAAGTACCTTTCGTCACGCTTCGCTCAATTTATTTATTAATAATTAATTGTTACCGTAGCAAAATATCAATAGTAGTAATTTATAAATGACTAGAAAACCAATATTTCTTCGAATATTTGAGAAAAAATTTACGTAGCGCCGCGATGTCTTGAACCCCACCACAGTCTTTTTCTGCGCGATCTTTCGAATCTGTGAAATGTCGGAAATTTGAGAAAAGATAATTGCGTAATCAGTCATTATGTGATTGGGCGTACACATATTGTTAGCTGGTTCAGAGTTGCATAATATCGATGTGCTGCACGATCGTAAGTAAGTAAGCAAGTACGTGTCGTGTTCGTTCCTGCTCGCACGTACGGTCAGGATCAGACATGTTCGTTCATGTTTGCGCATGCGCACCGTGCTCTTTCCATCTTTCAGGCTTCGACGTAGTACAACGAAGCGTATAACGAGATAACTGGTCTTCTAACGAGATTATCGCCCGAGCACCGACGCTGCCGAGTTTTTCAGCTCACGGCGACAAGAAGGGAACAATCACAAGCAAATTGTCTTATAAACGTACTTACTGTCGGTTGTTTCTTTATTTTCTATTATGCTATCGAACCCCTTACAGAGTTACTGGCAACGTTAATATGCAAGGTTCGTCCATATTGACTGCATTGTTGTTACTAAATACGCCTGGATACAATGATTATAGGATTACTGTTATTACAGATGTTAGTCGCATTGGATACAAGATGCAATAAACTACCTACAGGTTCATTCCTAACCTCTTTTAACGTTCAGACGTAAACATTTTTCAAACTTACGGTCCAAAATGCATAAATCTTTTTTGCATGAAAAATATTGAATTTCTAACCCATATAATGGTATATTTTCGTAAAGAAGATGTCGAAATCTACCAGTGTACAAAGTTTCGGTTAAATCGGTGACCCAAAGGTCTTGCTCTCTCCTTGTAAGTAGGTTGCCTAAATATTTTTGCTTAATGTGATGTTTTTCACAACTACGAGCGAAACGCAAATCCAGTTAGTCCTCGCGACGGACCATCGGAACAGATATTCCTGATAAAGAAATGTTTAGTATTTTCTTATACGATGGGACTCGATCTCTCATAGCAATTTCTGTTGCTCGTGTAATTTAAAATAAATAAATTAAATAGAAACAGATATGCGAACAATGTCGACAAATCCGGCGTTAAAAGCAGAAAAAGTTGTTGGAGACGCAGACGAGTTTCTTCTGTCAACTTTCAATTTCTAGTGACAGTCACCTGCTACGTGAAACGTATTTTTTCCGAGGCTGGTTCTGTGTGCAGTTGTTTGCATTATGGGTTTGCATACGAGTGCGTTCATTAGACGTTTCGAAAGTCAGCGTCTATGGTTCACGGACCTTTTTATGGCCGACGTAAGTGACTTCATTTCTGTGACTCATCGTTTTGCGCCTGGCATTAGAAACTCGCCTATAAATGGCTTATCGTTAAACGCGTTAGAAAAATGAAATAACTATTTGTAATGGATGTACCTGTTGCCAACATACGAATTTATAGTGTAACGATATATGTACATACTATGTAGAGAGAAAACTGTGTTTTCGCTTGACTCGAGAAACACGCGTAACAGATATCAGAAAATAATAAAAATTTAACAAGTTATTTATCGATACATTCAGGCTGTTACGTGTCAATGAAATGTGGTTACAATTTATCAATCGACAACAATGTCGGGATCACGTCGTTTCGTAATTTCAAGCGTGACTGTCTACGTAATTCTATACTCGGATTAAAACGCGACTGGTCAGCATTTGCGTGTTAAAAATTTTCGTTTCCAAATCATGAGCGACGGCGTGTGGCCTTTGATCAACTTTCACCGGTTTTTATTAACCGCTAATTTGTCGATATACGTGGTTTTAATGTCAGGAATATTAAAAGAAATTACGACCAGAAAAGTCCGCCCCGCCGAACTTCTTGGAACTCGATCATTATGATACAAAAAAATCTTCCAATCCGTTAATTATCGTAAATTAATTCTGTTGATAATACTTGTAACTTGGCTAACTAGCTATAAAACACAAATGTGTCATTGAATGAAATTCGACATTATGATAACTTTTCACGTAAAACCAGTCTCCTGCGTGAATATTTATTTATTATAATGGTATTAATTCGTCGACCGAATGTTTTATGAAAAATCTCAATATTTCCAAGTCTGCGTATTTATTAACATTTTATTGATAACAATAGAAACATTTATTAAGCTTCGCTACAGAATTTCTGTACAATTTTGCATTTGCTGCTAATTAATTTCGACGTTGGAGTGTCCTTTTATTGAAATTTCAATGTAATTTAATTGAATAGAAGCTAATTTCGTAAATTGAAACTGACTTTTGTACAAAAATACATTCGATTTATTCTATTAATTAACGTTCGATATTTTATTTTTGTATTATTTCTACGCAACAGAATTTTCGATGTTTTTACGGACGTTCGGTCAAGCTATTTACTAGTTATTTTATAAAATAAACACTTATTATATTAAAAATATTACGATCGAAGGAAATATCTATGTATAAAAGGTTTGATTAAAAATAATCAAAGCAACTTTAGTGCAATGCTGGTATATTAAAAACAAATATTATAATATTATTAGAAATTATTGGAAATTGCACGACTTTTCTTTTCTTTTTTTTTTAAATATTTATACGTTTTTGCAGGGACAAAGCTGCTAGCAGAATGAGAATCAGCGAAGGAAATCCTGCGGAGACCACTGTGCTTTCTTCAGAATCGATGACCACTTCCGCCGGAAGCTCCGGCGACGATTATCCGACGATTTCAGAGCCTCCCCTGCCTCTCGCAACATTCTCCATCGAGGACTGTGTTTACAGAGGCGAAGGAAATGCTAACGTCGTTATTGCGCTGTCACAAGTAAGTCGATAAACTACGTTCCTTAGCTTACTTGGAACACGCGATCGATACTTTTCCTATCATTTCGTCGTTCTCACGGGCCACGTATCACACACATTGTTGCGAATGGAAATCGCCGATCAGTTTTGCTCGACACCATCGATCTCGGTGAGAATTATTTTGGTAACCAACGGAGGAAGTTATTTAGGAAAATAACAGTTGGAAGTTGGCGTTAAAGTCCGCCATAAGCGTGGGGGTCTTTATTATCGTTCGTTTCGTCTCCTTTCGATTCATGTCGCAGGGGAAATACTGGTCGATAACAATTTTGTATTGTACCGTGAGTTTTTGTTCTTCTGGCAGTCGTCCATATCCTGTTTCATTCTTTTTTTTTTATTCCGTTGTATCTGGGTTACGAGGTCTTGGTATGGGACTGATTTCTCTTCGTTTGGTGTGGGTGTTGTCGCTTCTTTTGCAATAGTCTGCTTTTTCGTTGCCCCGTTATGCCAGTAAAAATCTCATTCGAGCAACAGATAACAAACAAACGATGGACAATAACTGGTGTGTGTCGGAGGGAGAGAGACCTCCTCGTTGATGCATACACGCACGCACGCAAGCGGCGTACATATAAAAAAATAATCTTATCGTTTATATGCATACTCGTGGCTAAATTCTAACAAATAAGATATAAAATTTCATTCTTACATATTCTAATAGAAATAATAATAATTTACTCGTTAACAACGCTATTTCGAATTCAAACTTGTTTATCATTTAGAACGGGACTTGTGTGCTCGATAGAAATTTTATAATACATTTTGTTTATCATTTTAGGTGTTGGAAACACTGACAGAGTGCAAGAATTAAAATTCAGTGATGGAAACAAACAGATTCGGAAACATTAGATTCTTCTTTACATTTCCATTCTTTTCTGCAGACTCGAAGAATTGTGAAATAAAAATGAAATATCAAGTATTTCTAAATACAGAATTAGGAAAATATCGATAGTACTAAATATTATCACCTTGCTACGTCTCGTTACGTATTCATCATCAGCTATGAAGTCCAGGTAGAGACTCGCACCTTCCCTTCTCCTCAATATTCCTTTCAGGTAGCCGTACTACAGTCGCTTATGAGCGATGCGGTGAAAGAATATCGACGAGGAGGGAAGATGAGTTGTCCGTCCTCCCTGGGATTGCCGCGACAACGTAAGATACCTGCTGGTTCCTTCACCCTCGACACAATATCAAAACACAAGCGAAATATTAATACCATTTTACATCAAGGTTGCAAGTACATATCTGTTTGCGCAAAACTTTCTTTTTATATTATAGACTGTTCGTATGTTATTTGTACCGTTGTTATCTGATCTAGGGTCATCCGATGGACATGGGAGAAGAAAATTCGTGTTATAGAGAGGGTAATCGGGATCGCCGGTTGGCTCGAAAACGGGGAAGGTAGCGATTTTTATCCCGAGCCGAGGCGGCCTATCCACGCATGTGCCGCGTTCGACGAGGAAAGTGAATGGGATACACCGAGAATGAACGAAACAGATCAATAACGAGCTGGTTCTCGCATTAGATACCCTCCGCGGTTATAATTTTAATGCAACACGCCACAGGCGCACCGGCGCGGCGCGGCGCGGCGCGACTCGACGCGATGCGGCGTGTTGCTCGTTGAACCTTTGTGGTCCTCGAGTTCAACTCAATACGGAATGTTTCCCACTAGCATTATTTAATTATTTCATCGGTATTTCTAACGCAATATGATAAAATCGATACTTTTGTTTATTACTCTGTTAGTTATTGTAAAGTCTAGGGATTGATCCAGCTCCGTGTAACAGAGTCTGTAACATATGAGTAATTTTGTTATTCTTTGTTTTTGTCTTACTCGAAAGGGTTTTAAGGAAATGTTTTGCCTCGCGGTGTCGATCACCGGTGACCGGGGAAAGTTTATCGGTGGATATCGGAGCCACAGCACTTTGCGCGTCAAGTATTGTGTAAGTACCTTTTACACATGAGGTGAAGTTCTCGTCTGTAGCAGTTATAAAGTTTTACAACACGGCGACTCCCCGGTCCTGTGTATGCGCGCCAAAGCGAGCAGGGTACGGTTTTTATTCCAGGAATGGGACCTTCCACGCTGGGGTCAAGCTTTGCACATGCATAACCGTTCAACGAGGCGAGTGAACGGGATACACCTAGAGCGAACGAGACTCAGGTTCACTCGAATAGCCTCGGTCGAAAATATGTTCGTTCGGATAGATGAACAAATATTTTATGCTATCTTTTTTATACTGTAAACCGGATAAGCTTGTAATACCGAAAAAAGTATCTCTCATCCCGCGATACCGTCAGTTTGAACGGTAGCTGGTTGGCTATCAAAGGAACATAACAAGTTACGAACTTGACCGGATAGTATACGAAGAATTTTGGGAGCAATTTTATACTACCTAACTGAAACCCACTGGTCAAAGGAATGAAACCAGCGCGTGCATGCATCTGGAGAAACTATGCCAGTTGCTTGTACGGGTAAAGTTAAACAAAATCCGAGTGACCGTTGCCATGGCAGAACTGCAGTTACAACAGAATCACCGTAGAGAAACGACTTAATAGCCGAAACAAAAAAGAAAAAACCACGGCGTTTCTTGCGAAAGAAAACTTGAGCTCGAGCGAGGCAAGAAGAAATAAAAGAAGGCTATTCTTCGTCGGAGAAGGAACAAAGATTCCTTCGGAGGAAGACGCGTTGACTCTGATGCATTTTCCGTGGTCATTTGTTCTCTGAATTCATAGAAGGGTGAGTTGGGTAGAAAAAGGTTGCTCGTACGTGTGCCATTTGTAAATGGTTGAATATCATCTAGCTCCGCGTGCAGGGGCAAGATGGAACATCGTCGAGTCGTTTATCCTTAATAACGTGGTATCGAGAACACCAGAACTCGCATAGGTGGAAATAGGTATGCAGAAAACCGTTTTAATACGTAAAATGAGTAGAAATGTGGCGTGACCACGATAGTTGGTTTGCGAATTTTCAGACTGCTCGGAGAGTTTGGAAACGGTCGATTCCGGTTTGTTGAAAAGATCGGTTATCTGTGAAAGTACATCGAACGATTCGTACGCTCCCCATCCATACTTGAACGTTCGTTTACAATTCGCGGTGTCCATTCAGCGCATAAACATCCGCCTTCGCACTGCCGACGAATCGTAAATCACTCGTCCTCGCCCACTCTCCGACAATTACGCCTATTTCCTATTTGTCTCGCGAAGCTTTATTTTCCGCGCGGTGTTCGTCAAAGTGCAGATAATTACACGGAACCTATCGCGCTTCTATCTAATCGGTTGTAGATCGCGATCCGACACGGTTGCGCAACATTCCACTCGACGTCTTCATGCAAGTGTAAGTACATACCTACACGGCCAAGCGCAAAAAACCCAACGAAAAAACAGTAGAGGAGGGGGACGGAGTCGATAGTACACGATGAGCGATCTTAATTATTTGCATAATAAATCAAGCGACGTTAAAACCATGATCAGTCCCTAGAGGTCGAATAACATATTTTCAAAGGTAAAGTAGTTGGAAATAAATCCACTGGTATTTTGTTATTTTTTTCTATACCGTATACATATGCATCTATAGTAGTATACCATATAAGTAAGTAAGTAAGTACATAGTTGCGCCCGGATACAAAATGAAGTTGAAGAAAATAGAGCGACGGTCAGCGAGTGACTGAGCGAGCTAGCGAGCTTTTGCGTCGCTGCGCACGTGTACCGCGCATATACGAGTGGGAGAATAAGAGATATAGTTCGACTGGCTAAAAGAAAGAAAAAGACAAGAAATGGCCGTTGGCCGTTGACCTCGACAACTAGGTGGGAGGGAGAATTGTTAGGTGGTGGGAAAACTAAGCTGCTTAAGTGGGGATCTGATGAATGATCGATGAACTTTGCATTTCAGAACCGTAGGAGGTTTCGTGGGGGTAGCTTCGCCAAGTCCAGTTCGTGACGTTTATATCGCCGATTTGGTTCGAATTTTACTCCCGGTACAAACTATACAATAACAGTACGCTAAACGCATAGGTAGGGCTGCTCGAAGTTTTTCCGAAAAAATTTCCGAATCTTGTATCGTTCGTCATACGTGTCTTTCAACGTGCGCAAAAAAAAAGTTCTGGTTTTAACAATAATTAATTTTCCTACTCGTAGATTTTTTCCTTTATTATTACAGATAAACGGTTCGTATCACCAGATTTTCTGGTACACGAAAATTCCAATAAAATATGCTTCCTTTGGTTGGTTTTAATAGCATCGTAATTAAAACCGATGAATCTATTATAAAACAATATTAAAACTATGTAAACAATGTTAGCTGTTCCAGACTGTCAAGCATTTTAATTACTTTTTTTTTTTTACCCCGTTGTTTGTCCGCTGTTTAATATTATTCCGCATTCGCGAACGTCTACGTTGTTTCCGGTATATTTAGAAATAATGTACCTATGCTTAGGAACGATTCGATATAAAAATTAATTTTTCCCTGCGACGTCGTTGGAACCTACCTGCAACCCACATACTGTCTTTTAGTAGCTGCATGCATACTTACTTGGCCGAACGTGGGTGACGCACGAGAAACTTGCAGCCACGTCAGCCAACAGACGAGAACAGCCGATATATCGATCGAACGTTTATGAGAAACGACAAGCACCTGAGAAGTTTACATGGACACCAGAAAATCTGATGTTCTAGATTTTATTTTCGCTCGAGTGTGTTGACGTCGCTCTCTTGTACCAACTTTAGATCGATAACGGTTCAATTTGCGGTTAAACATTCCCAAAAATAGAAATACAATTCTGTCGATGAGTAGTTGATCGGTATTGCACGGTGCTGAATACTTGCCAAACGAGTTAAAAGCCAAGCTATTAGAGTAACTTGAATAACTTTAATCGTACGTTTATAAACCGTGTCCATTGTTCTATCAGATTTATCGCGAAGGGGTAAAATTAATTGCAAAAATAGTATTTATACTTTTCGATCTATAAGGACGGAACATTTTTCTGTACTACTTAAGAAAGATAAAAATTATTTTAAGTCCTTATTCATTGTAAAGCATGCAAAGCGATCCAAGCAGCTACGAAGAGAAAGAAAGCGTGTCGGATAAATTTCCTTTTTTCTCTCTCTTTCTTTGTAAACAAAAATTTGTATGGTTCAGAACCACTGATTTATATAATACCATACTTTTGTAGAACTAGTATATGTAGACTATCGTGTATTCAGGCGGTGCATGATCCAAAAAAGGTTGGGAAACGCTGGATCAGTCCATACCCTTAAATAGAAATCAGGAAACAACAAGGTGAACTAACAGGGCGTGTACGGTCTATCGTGCGTCTCCGTGTTATCTTAAAGTTAACAATTTTTCGCACTATTGACCTGCATAATTTCTTGAATCTCACCGACCATTCATTTGTCCCTGATAACAGATAATCAGCTCTGCCGTGCGGGTATGCAAAACATACCGTAATTTGTTGCATTCTGGTCATGCAACTCACCGTGCTTAATGATCCTTTAAGTAATTGAGTTTACTGTCATAAATATTATAGCGCGCAAAGACAAGCAATTTCTTTCTTCCGTAATAACCAGCGAGGCCTCGCGTAGCTTTTACAAAATTAGATCTCAAGAGATAAAGTTCTTTTTCCAGTTTCTAAAGTCGAAGAAAAAACGTCTACTTGTATTGTAGTACTTTCTTGCGACTCGTGAAACTTTAAGTAACACAGCCGAGTATCTCGTGAATATTTGAAATTAATAACAACGTATGTTTCGTGCGAGCGTTATTGATACAGGAGAATGTTGAACCGTGTGGTAATAACCTCTTGTACCTACTAATAATAGCGACCCAATTTACTTGCAGCGAGGCGCAATATTTGTCAAGTGCAACTGCGATTCTCTTTTAAATGGAATCGTGTTTCTACGTTTCTAATTTTTCTTTACGGAATAACCGTATTTGGGTATTTGGTGAACTTTTATTATCCAACAATTTTACCAGTCTCTGGCAGAGTTTTGTTTAGTCGGAATAACGTAGCATGTGTCTGAACCCCAACGCTGTTCCTCTCTGTTTCAGGAGCACAAGGTAATTCGATTCCGGAAGTCGTTGCCGGACGATGTTCCACCGGATGGCGGCAAACAACGCGCCGAACGAGAACTGGAATTCGTCAAGAGCGTAGCTTCCTGCTTTTTAGGCCCGTACGCACAGATCCCTAAGATTCTTCGCTACGACGTGAAAGACATCGCCAGACTTTCGGAAGCCATTCAACCACTTCGACCAGGTAAAAACGTACCCTCGAACATTCTCTCGCAAACCACGCAGAGTGCGCTCCTACGTCTAATCGTTTTTAAATCTCTTCGAAACGCATTCGTGTCTTTTGGCGCTCGTTGCATCGAAAATGATTTCTTTTTAGTAAGCATCGTGACTCACTGGACAAACGTCAAACTTTCAGTTATATCCACCACATGGTTTCATTTAAAAGGAAATTATGTTGGGAAAAAAATATATTCAACTAAAGTAATTTATTTTTCGATCTTTTTCCAAGGACTTGTTGAACCGTCCCTCGTCCCAGGCGTATCGTAAATTGGATGTTCCTTACGACGTGCCACAAATTCAGTGCACAATCAGAAACGCACAGGTAGTGCGGCACATTCAGAATCGATTTCTTTTGCAAAATCCGGGAATGCCTGGGGCTCGTAAACTTGAAAGGGCAACCCGCCACGTGTAACAAATGCAGATGGTCGTCTCGTTGTTACCGGGAACGACAGGTGTTGGACCGAAGTAACACCAAGTCTCGAGTCTCCCATAATCTTCTAACCTTCGTTGACCGTTCGAACAGCTTAGACTTTTTTCATCCGCGTCCACCGGCTGCTTCCAACTTTCTTTTCGGAAGAAAAATGCGAGGCTTGCCACCGCTCGATGATCAATTCTTCGATATCTCCATTGTAATTTGCTATTTATTTACACCGCTCACAGTGCACCGGTAGCCTGAAAACAATGAAAAGAAGGTCGAGTACGGCTGCCGTTGGATGAGAATAGTCGAAGAAAAGTAGCTATAGGTAAAAATGAAACCGTCGAGGAGGAAGGGCCAACGAAAATTTACAACGTGCATCTCGCGTAGAGGGCTACTCCCAGTCGGGCCAGGCGGCAACCGCAGCTGCTGCTGCTACTGCTACTGCTACTGCTGTGCACGCTCTCGAAAGGATGACGACGTCGCCAGACACTCTCGAGAAGACATTAAACCAGCTCCATCCATACTCGTTGGTGCCTCCACGGAGAGACGTTCACACTTGACACGTTCCGTGGAGAAACACACGTGTGCGATCAGTCACTCGTACGAAAAGGGCACGACCCCCGGGGCAACATCCGTCGAGTTCTTCTTCGGGAAAGCTGATGCACGGCCTATCGAATCGCCTCCTTTCCCGCTACCCGTCACTTAAATACCCCTTTCCCGAACAATTAATCCTCTCTGCCCGGAAGTAGAAAAATATTGTCAGACGCCAGACGTAATAAAAGACAATCGTTGCGAGACTCGACTTGACTCCGCGTCGACTTTCGAACGCTGTACACTCGCGAACAAAAAGACAGGAGACGGGTGTCGCGTTTCGAACGGCACACTGGGAGTATTTCGTGACCTCCCGACGAAACGTTTCACGTAGGGTGAACGTGAATCAAGAACGACAGTGGATAACCTTTTGGACGAACGGAATTCCATCGAATCAATTTTATTATCGCAACGCTGACCGTCGTAATATTTTTTTAAACGCACGAGGAATATTTTGTTTGTACCCTGTGCGAGAAACCTGCTTTTAACAAGATAAACGTCGAGCCGACAGGAAGAAATTAGAACGATATGAGAAACCGTTCTTGGAGAATGGAAACCGCTCGAGTTACGAAGAAAACACGTTATACAGGAAGCCCGAATAGGCTCCCCTTCTGACTCTGAGAGACACGGACTTCGTTTAGACTTTGTTTTTCAATAACTCTCCGTCTTACCGACCGAATGTTTAAATTACCAATTATTGGGACATAATGTGCATTGTAATAGGCAATAAGCGCAGCAATAACTTTGGAATATATAATAACGTCGTAAAGATAGTTTTTCAATCCACCTGTTAAGGATAAAATATTGCTAATAACTATTCACGGGTAACCTTCGTTCTTGTTGATTCTATCATCGTTCGTAATAATTGTTCGGCAGAAGCCACCACAGTATCATTGAACTTAAAAAGCGAATAAAACCTACTTGAGTACATATGCTAAATGAAATTACTACGAGTGATCAAAAGAAAGAAAATTTATGCACCGAGTGAAAAGTAATTTAAATTAATAACGAGTTTATATTATACATATATATTTTTTTGTTCAGATTCAGATCCATCGGGGATTGTTTCGAACGGAGCAATATAAATTTGGAAGAATAAATGCATTTTAAAATAAATAAAAATTTCTCGAACTTTTCGAACACGCCTCGTAATTTAAATGCCTCGCCTTCGAGTGGACTATACCAGCATTAGTCTTTGCCGTGTAGGTACTGTTCGCGGAGTTGCAACAGCACGAGTTTCTATATCTTCGAACATACATGTACCAAGAAACAATACAAATTACAACGCCAGTATTCGAATCTCAGTTAAAAGGTCACGAGTCATGAGAAACGGGAATGAGTATGAAACTCTGTTCCCTTTCCTTCAAGTTGTAGAAATCTTGCGCAACCGAAATCCTTAAAAAAATATCAGAATTTCTCTCGCGAGCGATGAAACGCGAGGCAACCGATAATTAAGTAACAGATTCGAAAATAAAAACACGAGAGAGATATTTTCTAGAGGAGATTCTAGAGGGCAAAATAGAACGAAAATCAAGAATACCAATTTGTTGATCAAGGTTTCGTTAAAAAGTTATTAAAAAAATTATTTCTAGCTGCGGAGGTCAATTGGAATCATTTTTGGCGAGTGGACAAATAGCCGTTTTACTGGCGGAACTTTGAACGTTAAAAACTTTTTAACGAAAGCTCGATCAACAAATTGGTATTCTTGATTTTCGTTCTATTTTGCCCTCTAGAATCATCTCCCGTTAGAATGTTCTTCCAGGGGTGGCCAGACACCCTGTATAATGAATTATTTATCGACGCGCACAGGCTGGAAATTATAATATTTTTCGACGATATCCGATCTCGCGAAATGATTGATTTGTTTAAAAGCGAGCAACAGGTATTGTGGTGTTATCAGCGATGCGATATTGCGCACTGGCGATATGGAGATATCGATTTCATGTCCTAGAACGTCAACCGTAGCTAGCAGGCTCATGTATTACTTGTACGCGAAGACGACGAAAAGCGTTGTGTGTTTAGCCATTACGATGCCAAAAATATCAACGTCAACAGAATCCTCCGGGTCATCGGCAACGCCATTTTACGATCACGCGTCGACCGACAGATTAATCTGCTCTTTCAGTCCTTTTCAAATTTTTCCTATTTATCATTAGCCGTTTCTTTTTCTTTCGATGAAGCTTCAAACGTGATGCCACGCCCATAATATTCAATATAAGCTATCTTCGGAGATAGTAATTTTTTGCGCTATAAATGATTACGTAGCTTTATCACATATTTTAATATGTTGTCGAGGAAAAATGATTAAATTCAGTTGGTAGAAATATTTTTATCTTTTTATCGTGTATGCGTATAATAAAAAATTCATTGAAATTTTTTCGTTTCTGTCTTCAGATAAACGCCGACACACGGATGTTACGGAGACTTATGCGACACAATACCCAGACTACACTTTTCTTAGAACGAAATGCGACGAGCCTAATCTATTTCGAAGCAAAAATACATTTTGCGTGGAAATTAAACCAAAGCAAGGATACTCGAGAGACGCCGATAGTAAATTTCAAAAATGTCCTTATTGTTTAACTCAATATTATAAGGTAACACGATGATTCGATAGTAAATCTTAATGTTAACGTATTTTATGAGATTCGATGAAACTTTAGAGAATCGGTATGAAAATCAGATTTTTGTTTGATAATCTACGTATTCTTCGCCATAATTAATGATTGTAAATATTTTTTTTTTTTTATTGCAGCTGCAGAAAAAGGTAATCGCAGCCCGAAGTACTTACTGTCCGTTTGATTTATTTTCTGGGGTAGAGGAACGCATGAAATCAGCATTAAAAGGGCTCCTGATATCCCCACAGAATAATCTGAAGATTTTTAAGGACGGTGTAGTTGTTTACGATCAAGAATCATCGTTAAACGATCTCGTATGTGTTTTAGCGGAATGGCTTCACAATTCTGTCGCCTGCACGAACAAAGAATACATCGATCAATTCTGCGATTTGATCTGTGCTGCCGTTTTGCATTCGTTTGCCAAAGAAGAATTCATGCCATCTTCCGCGTACGAAAAATGCGCGCGGTCTGCCCAACAACAAGATTTCGAACCGATCTCGTACGTTAATCCAGATATAGTAGCAAAGGCCAAAAAACTTGTGCATTTTAGCAAAAAGGTAATTAATATTGGTTTCAAATTGTTGCAATAGACTCGGTTTAAAAAAAATCTAGCCACCCTGTTATGTGGCTAGCAACCGGTGGAAAGGTTCAATTCCCTTCTTACTTACGCGTACATGATTCTTAAAAGGGGGCGCATAAAATTATTGTGCTGCCGACTGCTGGATCGTACGGATAGTAGTAGCAGCAGCATACTCGTGCGTTGCTCAGACGGTAATCAGTAACCAATAGTGTGGGATACTTTTTTTCGGGGCTATTACAGTGGTTGTTTTAACGGGGAGGGAATTCTACCGTAAAACGCGTACGTTTTAGCTTTAATATCTTGTAGAAAAATTCTCCTAAAAATCATGTAATGCTCTTACAGCCGTGCAATGTAAAAGGTGGAACTTTACCTAAAAATTGTGTGCTAGAACGAATCCTCCATATGCAGAAGCTACCCTTTATCAGTTCAGAATACGTTTACAACATATATTCAAAGTTTCGACCATTATTAACGGACGATATAATATATTCTAATTTAATAAGAACACAGAAGTTTCACAAGCAACGGATATTATCTTCTTATAAATCTACAGTAAGTTTTTATGTATTATTTGATTATTTTCTTTTTGGTATTTGTAACCCAGACCCGAACCCGAAATGTCTGATACCCCTAATATTTACACGATTATTTCCAGAGTAATGTTATGAAACGTTCGAACGTGTCGCAGGAGACTCGCTTGAAAACGTATATCAAAGGTATTCTGCATTCCAAAAAAATTAGAAACTAACGATTGTGATAAAAGTAGAAACGTTAATTCAGAATCTATTTGCTTTTCAGACGACGAGCCTAAAGAAAATGTTCCTCTTTCCCAAAAATCAACATCACTGCCCATGTACTTGCAAGACAATAATTTGTCATGTGATAAGTCTAACATAATACATAGCGAAACTAATCCACATTGTAATGAAAAAGAAACGAATCTTTTTATAAGCTCCGAGAACATATTACGCTTACAAAATTATCTTCTGTTCTCGTGTGCTAGGGATTGCTCGATATTGATTGCATTTCGAGAGCTCAATACGTAAGTAACAAAACAATTACTATTACAATGTTCGTTTCAGTCTCTAGTATAGTTTCAAACCACCGCAAGTTAGTTTGAATAACAATTATGAGAAACCGGAATTAATGGATTCGATTTTGATTGCATTTGAATGAAATTCCCAAGTACACTTATATAAAAAGTTATACAAAGGATTTTTCTTAATACAGGAATACCGAATTCTCAACCCTTAACGAGGGGGTAATAAAACTTTCGGATGGGCTATGCTTTCTTTGCAACATTGGAGTTTCAGATTTAGAACCGAAAAGTCTTCGTTGTATCGAGAAACATCGTCAACGGGATACTAATGTTTTAAATGCTGTAATATCTATTTTTGAGAAGGAACTTATAGTTGAAAATCAATCGTTGATGCAAAATTAACCATTGCAATTATAATTTCTCTTCAACAAATGTTAAAGACTTTTATCGTACGACTTTTTTTTTTTTTAATCAAATTATGTGTATCACGTACTTATAATTCGCGTAGATTTTTAACTGTTGCCGACGAGTGTATTCTGTCTTTCAAAATACATTTAACATTTTTATTTATGGTTCTGTACCATGATACTGTAACATGATACTGTTTTATTATGACAATAGAGTAACGAGAAGGAGTAAGGGTGTAGTCAGGGTGGGGAAAAATGGGGCACTTGCCCCCTACTATTTATTTATAAATAAATAAATTTTTTAATTCAATGTTCTCTGGATACAAATGGCCAGAAATGCCTGCTATTGATGCAATCTCGCAATGTTTATCTTTACCGTCATACAACGTTTCTGAAATTTATGATTTCCATATCTCTACAACATATAGTACATACAGCTATGCATAATGGTGAGGAATTTCGAATTCCTTGCATATTTTAATGTTAGATGGATTATTCTTTCTAAACAAATTACCGTGGTAGAATAAATTTTACCAGAAAATACGGAAATGCGAGTTATTCGATTTAAAGGCTATTGACATCACTTGTATCTATTTTAAAATGAACAAACTATTTATGTTAAAAATACATGTACTGTATACGATTTTAGAATTATTTATAAATGTAAACACTAATATTATATTTACAAATAATAACAATACTCCAAATGAATGTTACATCTTTAGCAAAATAATGGACAAAAAGGAAAAGTTATATAATATTTAAATTAAATTTTGTTATCAACGTATATACATATATTTATTCCCTGACTAAAATTTATCTTCCTCTATCTGTCTCCATATATCTGTTGTAAAATAACATGGAAACATGGAAGTCTTTCACCTGTTCTTAACCAAAGTTTAGCAAAACTGAATAATTAATGATCAAAGATTACGATTAATGGTAAAATTATACTATTAATCATGATTATTAAATAACTCTTGAACTATCAGAGCATACGTATCTTAACACATTTTATACAGATTAAAAGGCTGCATTGAAACGATACGATCAAAAATTATAGAGTTCTATTCAAAAGAAGGATGTAGTTGCATCTTTTAGATGCATCAATGCATAAGAATTAATAAGATTACAGATAATTTATGTTCATGTTCACATTCTACAGAATTTCCTTGCACCCAGGATATTGTAGTATATAAAAAATAGCATCTTTTTGTGTGTCTCTTCGCACTAATTGCAAAATTACAAAAAATTCTTTATTTTTATTTCTCTGAATATTAAATAATTCTTGAAATGCCTGCGGAAACATTCTCCGCTGTCAACGAGTATATTTACTTACATTGGCAGGATTTATGCTGCAGTTTTTAACGTCAATACACACCGGAAAATATTAATTTGGGTTCTTGAAGAGAAAATCACTAACCCGACATCCATTAAAATGATGTATTCACGGATATAATGTAGAAATGAACAGTATTTCTCCACGATAAAATTCTAGTAGTTTACATAAGGATTAGTCAAGTTTAACCCGATAAAACTATTTATTTAATAACATTAAAAAAATAGTTATGTACGAACTATTCTCTTATTGGGTATTTTTACGCGGGAAAAAAACTGCGTGGTTATGATGAGCACCAGTGATGCCAGAAAAGCACCGTCGGGTGCACACTCTCGCATGCCAGATACGCGTACGTGAGCTCGTGGAGTTTCGGAAAGACGACAAAGGCAACCTGACGCATGCCCTCTTTCTCGATTCTCCGAAGCTGCCCGAAGTAATTTCGGACCGCTTCGTGGAAGTCGAGAGAGAAAGGCTCACATTTGCCTTCTCGCTCCCACACAACTGAAATCCGATCTCCCGTCAACGGCATACGATTTGGATTCTCGACTGCCCAGGCATTTTTACTTTCCGACCTATGTACTTAGGCGCACATAAGCAAAGTACCCATAATGAAAAAAAAATTTTGTAAAATTTATTTTACGGAAATACACGTTTTAAGACCTCCTGATCATATTTTAATTATTGAAAAAAAAGAAATTTTTTTTTATTCCCATGTATGAGCACACATACATATGTATATTATTAATACGATTTTTGAAAATAAATAAAGTAAAACTTATCTGATTGAAATTTTTTGTAGAAGTTGAGCTGATGAATACCTAGAAAAAAGTATTAGACAACATTTAATATTGATTTCGATTAAAAATCAAATTTATATTGTTTTAAATTCGCAGCCATTAGCTCGGTGTTACCCATAATGAAGAAGTTGTTCTTCAAAGGTAACACCGATTACCAGGTCTCACCACGAGGAGGTTGCTGCGAGTGGAGACCCAAAGTGAGATCGATGGAACAAAGTTCGATCGACCTTCCTTTTTACACACTAGATTACGCAAAAAAAAAGATGCCAAGTAATTACTGTTCTAAAACAAAGGAGGAAGGTAAATTGTGGGAGACGCGACACGACGAAACGCGACACAATACTGCACAGTGCAGTAGGAACATGAGGTGCGACACGTACCGAATAGCGGGTCAAAAGGGGCAGCTCGTTACCTCTTAGCAAGTCCAATTGAAGGGGAGGAGAATCGACGCACCAGACACGGGTTCCCCATTTCTCCAACGCGTCCTGCTGGGAGCCCGTAGGACCCAACCCGGGACGTCTTACACAGGAGAGAGATCCTGAGTCGGGGCTACCGCAGACAGGAACAGGTCCCCTCTACGGCCGATGACTCTTTCCCTAGAATTGTCTCACCAGAGGACGGCAACCGACCCTTCGAACCATCTAAACGGCCGATCACTTGCTTTCTACATTAAAGCAGCGGTGACCGGAGAAACGAGACTGGAAAAGAAGCTATTAATGAATTCATTACTTGGCAATCTACGCAGTAAATAAAATAATATACAATGTAAATTGAAAATTAACGTCGTAGGTGGAATTAATGAGATTAAGGAATTGAAATGAACATAGGAATGAATAAGAAAGGAAAAAGAAATATTCGACGTTAATTTTTACACTCGCGCCGCGCCTTAAATTTAATGCCCTTACGTGCAGATGAATCCGAAGTCCTCCCTCTAAAAATTTATCTGAATAAAAACTAAAATAAAAATTAGTAGTTAAACAAACAAATTAATTAATAATAAATATAAGGACAAAGAAACAAATATACAATCAAGAAGAGAATCATTTGGAAAATAACAACCCCACGATGTTGAAAATGAGGAAAATGAGGAAAATGAGGAAAAATAACAACCCAACGATGAAGAAACCAAGAACAGAATAATTTAAAAAATATCGACCCAACGATGTAAAAAAACGATGTAAAAAAGCTGAAATAAAAATAATTGATTCATTAACGAGACGAACAACCCAAATAGAGTACATCACCTATATATATATATAAACAAAAAAGACAATGTTGGGATTAGTTGTATTAATATAATTACATGTATACCAAACGGTGATCCTTCCTGGTCAGCATCGCAGAATCAGAGAATCTGAAACAGAAAATACGCGTGAAAGTACCCCTGGCGGTTACAGGAGTACTGAAAAGAGTCGATCAGCTGTGCCCGTTTTTATGCAGTCGGACAAAAGTAATCCCTAGCCAATCAGCAGCCAGACCGCTGGGGGCGACACTCCGATAGGGCGGCACTTGCTTCACCTAAGTTGATAAGAGACCCCCCTGTGGCCCTCGCGCGGGAGTTATCTCCCAACCACCAAGCAAGACGGACCGTATCGAGATGAAGAATTTAATCGAAAATTTACATTCGATCAAAATCGAAGATGGCGGCCAAGAAGATGTTTCACGAGCAGCGGCCAAGGGACAAAACCGGTCTTTTTAAAGACCAAGAAAATCTCATTTGTGGGAACAACTTATGCAATGAACTGAACAACTTTTATATTTAACAACTCAGAGACACTTTACATCTCTGTTTTGTAACAACTTTTATATTTAACAATTCAGAGACACTTTACATCACTGTTTTGTAACAACTTTTATATTTAACAACTCAGAGACACTTTACATCTCTGTTTTGTAACAACTTTTATATTTAACAACTCAGAGACACTTTACATCTCTGTTTTGTAACAACTTTTATATTTAACAACTCAGAGACACTTTACATCTCTGTTTTGTAATAACTTTTATATTTAACAATTCAGAGACACTTTACATCTCTGTTTTGTAACAACTTTTATATTTAACAATTCAGAGACACTTTACATCACTGTTTTGTAACAACTTTTATATTTAACAACTCAGACACACTTTACATCTCTGTTATGGAACAACTTATGTAATAAAACTGAACATGGTATATTTGCCTATACATATAGGAAGGAAATTCGTCGTTAGTATTGTCGCCCGTCAATGCACTTAATTATGCAAGATCAGTATACTATCTAATTTTATTTTTTATTATACCGGTTTGTAATATCGTAAAGATCAATGCAAAAACATTATGCACAGCTCTTGTATTTCTTTGATTTATCCAAGTAGTGAAAGTATAATATTTAACAAACTTTTGATTCAAATAACATAACGAATGACACAAAATTTGAGTACCTGTTGCATACAACCTATGTATAAATGCATAACTAATATTGATATACGCATAACGAACTTAGTTTGTGATATGAAACATTAAGAAAAGTGTAAATTAATAAATAGGTTTCAAAATGGGTATTCCGGGTTTAACAACTTTTATAAACAATCGTTCAGATCGTTATTTGGAATATTTCGAGCTACGTGATACGTATTTAGTTATTTAGCTGTCAAATATATAATTCGTACAAGTGCAATTGTGTTTTTGTCGGTGATTACGATAAATTACGCTCAACAAGTATCGGATTTTTTTGACGATTTGATAAAGTGCAATGCACTACCATTAGTTTTGATCGATTGTGGTTGCGAGGATAAGAAACTGCAAACAGTTATATCTAGAACTAGAGAAAAGGTTCGTACAGCATCATCTTATTCTCCGATCTGTCAACAGAAAATGAAATTTTTTCCTTTACATATTTAGGAAGTTTTCAAAGATGTTACGAGAAAGAAGAATATTCGTCATGTGCAATGCTTATTCGAAGCTGATAATGCTATAGCTACTGTAGCAAGGATATTGAATTGTCCTGTATCGAGTTATGATTCAGATTTTTATGTGTTTGGGACATTGTACATACCATTTGATACATTGGACAATTACACGGTGAAAAGTTCAACTGGAAATGGTTACACGAAACGTTGTAAAATTTATAAAGTTGAACACTTATTAAATTCTTATAGAGGTCTAAGTCAATCTACACTGCCATTAGCTGCAATATTACTAGGCAATGATTATGTAAA